CTCTCCTCTCCTCTCCTCTCCTCTCCTCTCCTCTCCTCTCCTCTCCTCTCCTCTTTTCTCTTTTCTCTTTTCTCTTTTCTCTCTCTTGAGGGAGGAGGGGAGGAGAAAGAATCCTAAGTAGGCTCCACATCCAGTGCAGAGCCCAATGTAGGGTTTGATTTCACAACCCTGAGATCATTACCTGAGCCGAAGTCAAGAGTCTGACACTTAATAGACTAAGCCACCCAGGTGCCTCCTAGGTTATTTTTAATCAACACTAAAAATAGGTATTTCTTCAAAGATCTAGTTATCACCAAGAACCACTATTTCTAAACTAAAGGGGAAATTCTTCTAGAAAGACAGAAGCCTAAATACTTTATACATTTTTTAAATTGAGGTATGATTTATATACCTTATGTATATAAATCTTAAGTGTATAGCTCAATAAATGTTTATAAATATACACACCCATGCAACCACTGTTCAATCAAGATACAGAAGGCTTCCTTGATATTCCCACCAAAGGTAACATTACTTTTAGTACTATCACCTTAGAAATTACATAGTTTTTGTATGATTTTTTATACTTTATAGAAATATACATATTCCATATAGTATGCCCTCCCCATGATGTTGTCTATAGCAGTAGTACATTCTTTTTCACTGTTGGATACAATTTATTAAGCCAGTCTACTGTTGATGGACAATTTGGATGATTTTCAGCTTTTGGGTTATTATAAATAAAATGGATATGAACACTCCTATATTTATTTATATTTATTTTATTAGTTTTTGGTGAATATAAGGACTTCTTTTTTTCAGTAGACTCCATGCTCAACACAGGGCCTGAACTCATGACCTGAGGCCAAGAGTCATATGCTCTACCAACTGAGCCAGGCAGGCACCCCAGAATGATGTATTTTTGATGGCCATTCTATGCAGGAGTGGAATTGACAGGTTTTAGGTAACATGCATATATAGTTTTATACACCTTTAATAGATCTTGCCAAGCACCTTTACAAAGTGCTAGTACCAGTTTATTATTATACTCCCATTAACAAAGTCTAACAACTTTAATTGCATCACATCCTCACTAACACTTGTCATTCCGTTTAATTTTGTGGGTATGGGTATAGTGGTATCTCACTGCCACAAAATGGGAAGGTCCAATATTTTATTCTACTTCTAACACACCTGGATGGTGGAAGAAGACATGAAACATCTAAGATGAATGAGATTTCATTACTCAGAAGAATAGCAAAAGCCACAGTATCAACACTGGTGGCACTCTTCTGAGGCCCAGTTCCCACAGGGCAATACAAGAAGTGGGTGATAGTGGCATATGCAGATAGATGCACTGTGCCTATAAACTAGTTTGTGTTTTCTAGGAATTTATATACATGGGATCATATACTATATACTCCTTTTAATCTGACTTCTTTCACTCAATGGAACCGTTCTGAGATTTGTATGTGTTGCTGCAGTATCAATAGTTCATTTCTTTTTACTGCTAGGTAGTACCCATTGTAAGGATATGCTCTAATTTGTTTATCCACTCAGCAGCTAATTATCATTTGGGATGTTCACAGTTTTGAGCTATTAACAAATAAAGCTATACATCTTTGTAAGAATATATACTTTCCTTTCTATAAATCCTGATTTTTTGACCTCACATGTCTCTTACATATATTATAACTATATAGGTATATATTATGTATTACATATGTAATATGGATATTATATGTATGATACATATTTTAAAGATTCTTAAGTAATAACCTTTGGAGAGGGAAACTAGGCAGAGAAGGGAGTGGTTTTTCCTTTTTCTTCTGTATTTTTGTTTGAATTTGGATATTTTACTTATATACATACTATGTAACATATATGAATCTTTAATTCCTAGAATATGTCAGCATGAACCACTAGGCAAGGAAACTATGGCTCTTTCTTTTTTTTAAGATTTTATTTATTTATTCATGAGAGACACAGAGAGAGGGGCGGGGGGCATAGACACAGGCAGAGGAAGAAGCAGGCTTCATGCAGGGAGTCTGATACGGGACTCGATCCCGGTACTCTGGGATCATGCCCTGGGCCTAAGGCAGGTGCTCAACCACTGAGCCACCTGGGCATCCCTGTGGCTCATTCTTGTTTTGTTTCCTTCTTGTATTTCTAACTTAAAAAAACTCTAATATATGTTATTTTTTAAGGCAAAAAAGAAGAAAATCTCCCAAGCCATTTTCTCAACTCTACAAAATACCTGGCAATTCACTCCCTATAATTCTGCACATTACCACAAGCTGTTGACAAACTATTATCTCTAACTCCAGGCTCTCCTCTTTCTCCTAAATGGATGGGTATATAATAGCCATTTTTCTAAACTGCAAATTTGATAATACAGCACCTGCTTATACTGACTAGCAACAAAAAACCCTCAATACTTAACATCAGAGCACTTAAGCTCCTTGGTATCACCTTTGGCATCACTTTTCACTATTCCTTCACTATACCCAGGTTCTGGTCATGCTGAAATGCCAATAATGTGCCAAGTTCTTTAACTTCTTTGTGCCTTCCTCTTTTTTCTGTCTTTCTTGTGACTTCTCACTCATCCTTTTCTGTGATATCTTCTATTCCTCTCTACCCTCTCCCCCACCTTTTTATGAGATTATTTATTTAACTTATTTACTTAAGAAAGAAAGAGAGTGTGAGCTCTGGGGAGAGGCAAAGGGAGAGGGAGAAGCAGACTCCCCACTGAGCAGGAGCCTGATGTGGGGTTTGATCATGACCTGTGGGGAATGCAGACACTTAACTGAGCCACCCAGGTGCCCTGTCCTCTCCCCTTTGCACTCAGATGCTTCCATCCTCTGTGTTCCTATGGTACTTTGTAAATTACTGTGTTATAGCAGTTATCACATTGTAGCTGACTAATCTACAAAAACAACAATGGATGTCAATTAGAATTCCATCCTGTAATTCTCCATAAAATTCCTATCTTACTACTTGCTGGAATTAGTGTCCCAAAGAATACCCAAAAAGTTACTGAAGTCTAAGTGTAGCCACAAATATACTGATGCCTATGAGTGGTAGAGTTGTTAAATGGCAGTTAGCAAAAATACACCACAAAGATAGTTTAGAAGCCCCCCCAAATTCACAGATTGGATTACAATTCCCTGAAAACTGACCATGATTTAAAATATTTTATTAAGTAACTAGAATATCAGCTCTTACAAAATAAGATTCTAAATAAACAAAAATCTTACAATCCACACAAAAGAAAGGAGGTACTCTTTACCTGCTAAAATGTTACGTCCTTTGTAAAGTTTTTTAAAAAAAACATTTCAAATGGTATTTTTTACCTGGTGATTAAAATATCTGGTATAGAAAGGTGGGTTCTAGTCTCTGCAATAGAGCTATGAAGTCAATTTCTTTTAAATGTATTAGAAAAATAATTGGTAACTCAGTGATACTTCTGACAGTTGCCTTGTGCTAATTTCTAGAAGGCAATAGTGTTAGAAAACTTCAGAGAAAGTAAGGGAAGGATAATATTTGGCTAATTAGTCCTGGACAAGCCTTTGTACACAATAAGTTTAGTATCTGCAGAGGGTAGAATAATGAATCTACAGATATTTATGCTCAAGGAGAGCAAAGTATTTTATAATCTCTCTATTTTATAATCTCTCCAGTAAACTAAAAAAAGAGGACAAGAGAAGCTTATACTTCTGACTCCTACTAGGTGTTCAGTGCCATTCTCAAATAACAGAGTCAAAAATTCTCTTAGAAATCACTGCAGCTTAGTTAAGAAGTACACTGGGATGTACCATTAAGGCTGGTGGCTGTATTTCCCAAATTTTATGCAGGCAAGGATTTAAATGCTTCTCTTCTGGAAAGACTGTATTTGTTTAGTACTTTTCTAAGTTATAGCATTCTAGGATTCTAATATGACATCAGTGGGGATCAATATATTCCAAAGAATCTAAGAAAGAAAAGTTCCTGGCACTATATAAAAGTGAATAATCTTGAAAACTTAGTATTAAAATTGCCTATGGTTATCCATCTTCCAGATGAGCCATAATTATATTACTCCATGTGATGACTGATGCTGATGGCCTCCCAGAGGATGGAACAAAGAGTAATGTTTTAGAAAAGGTACAAAAAGGCAAGAAGCATCACACTATCATCTACATAACATAAATCATTACACTTAGGAAATAAGAGCTTCTAACTACAAAAAGTATTTTATTACCTGGTGTAGGACAAACTTTATAGGCATTCATCAGACAAGTAAGAAAGACAAACATAACTATGATTTTGTAGTAGAGACAAAGTCTAGATGGTATGGCATTCTGAAAATGCCAGAATGCCAAACTATTCTGCAAAAGTTCCTGGTCTGAATTATTAAGTAGCAACTTAGCTGTATAAAAAAATATCCTTTGACATCAGTTCTGAATAGCTGCTAAAGAATATTGACTCCATACTCCTTTATGATTTTATGACTGAAACTGCTAGGAGTGTCTGAGTTATTCTTTAGTAATAACTGGTACCTGGTGATTCTTCAATGATAAGATGACCAGGGTATTGTGAAAATATTGAGCTCTTGGATTGGAAGTTGAATTCTTGCCTGCCTGTCACTTCCTCAAACTATGGATGATGATTTCTGATAATACAACTTCTACTGAAATATACTTCAATTTAATAATTTTTTTAAACTGATGTTTTTAAAAACCTCAAATTGAAATCTTTTCAAAGGTTTCAGATGTGAAAAATACTTTTAGAAATTCAACAATATACTTTATAGGTTTTACTTCTGATTTCATGCATGCTGTTACACATTTTGGGAACAGAACTAAACAACCACTTGAACATGAGCCATCCCCCAGGTTCAGAAAGATATACACATACATATTACCGAAACACAAAAGAATAGCTTAGTCAAAGAACACAAATGGAAAATTCTATTAAAGCAGAATTTACTTTCATTTAAGTATATATGCCAGTAAAATGGTCAATTTTTTCAAAAATCTTACCTGCTACTGAATTTGGTCGTGGCATAAGATACAGAGGAATAGACTGTACTGATTGTGATAAAACTGATTCCAAATTCCTCTCTGGGATCTTATTCAGACTATAGGTGGAAGCCGTCATGTTTTCATCTACTCGATACAAACAGGAATCCATGCTGGATTTTTGAGATTGCCAAGGTTTTAGGTTTCCTCCAGATCCTAATTCTTTACTGCTTTCCCCAACATATTTTGTGCGTTCTACGTTTTCAGAATAGCTTGTCAAGGTAGCTGAAAGACAGAGTAAAACAAGTTAAAAAAAAACCTAAATACCTACAGATTAAGCTGTTTACTACTATCCAAAATCATAAATATCTAGTAAGAGTAGTAGCAATATTATTTTTAAAAAATTATTCATGATCATTTTATCTCTATCATGAAGTTTAAATAACTGAAAGCAAAATTTAACTATCTCTTACATATTTTCTCTCATATCTCTCCTATTTTTACTTTAATAACTCTATTTAAATGAAACTAAATACATTCAGACATCAGTGCTAAAAGATCTACAGCTAGGGCCTATCAATGCTAAAAATTTCAGAATTTCATCAAAAAGGGATTGTTGGAGAGCTCCCAAAGTCTCAAAAAGATCTTTATACTCTTTTAACCCATATTTTCCCTCATTTAAATTTATTTCCAGGCCCCTTATATGTAATTAAGAATTAGAAAAAACAAATGGTCCCTAAGTAGATGTTAATATAGGAGAAATAATCTGTCCAAATAAGGAGACAGTACAGGGCCTTCTTGAACAGGAAGCCTCTGCAGTTCTAGCTCTATGTTCCTTAATGAAATCAAACAAAAATTGAAAGGGCTTCTAGAATTTTATCTAGTCTTACCACTAATTATAAACAGGACTTCTAAACAAAAATTTTCATCAGCCATAGAAATGCAAGGATTAAAAACATTAAAATCAAGATTATAAAAATCTTAGCAATAATTCTAAGAATAAAAGAGGTCATCTCAGGAAAGCTTTTAATATGTTAGTGCATATTCTCTTCTTACATTTTCAATGTACCTGTTGTGAAAAGAAGAAACCTAAGTTTATTGGGTACTTTCCATGATTCCTTTTAGTGAGGTTTTCTCTTTGGAAATTTAAATGGAGTTCTGGACTTGGTAGTAATAAGGAGAAAATATGAGTTATAAAGGAAGAAACCCTGGTTGCCTTCAAGCTTTGTTGCTCTTTACGGTAATAAGTTTTCCTTGCATCTGAGAATTAACTGCTACAAACTAGTCTCTGTATCCTGATAGTAAGGGAGTCTGGTTTTATGGCAACACCTCCCTGTCAATTCTGTCAGAGGGGGCAGTCACTGTTACACTTCTCAAAGATGACAGTGCTCCCCACTCATACCAACTTGTGACACATCCTTTTTTTTTTTTTTTAAGATTTATTAATTTATTTGAGAGAGGGGAGGGGAAGGAGGAGAGGGGGCAGAGAGGAGGGGAGGAAGAAAGGGAGAGGGAGAATCCTCAAGTAGACTCCTGCTAAGCATGGGGCCCAATGCAGGGCTTGACCCCAGGACCCTGAGATCATGACCTGAGCTGAAATCAAGAGTTGACACTCAATCAACGAGCCACCCCGGAGCCTCAACACATCCTTTTTATATATTGTCCCTGTTATCTTTTTTATACATTGCTGGATTCAATGTTAGAATTTTGTTAGGACTTTTATGTCTATGTTCATGAGAGACACTGGTCTGTGGCTTGCTTTTTTATATAATTTCTTTGTCTGATTTGGTCTTAAGGTAATATTGGCCTCCCTCATTAATTGTTCTTTTAACTTCAACCTCCTGGAGCAGTTTGTGGGAAAATGGTATTATTTCTTCCTTAAATTGTGATAGAATTTACCTGTGAAGGCATTTGGACTAAGTTTACCTTGTGGGAAAGTTTTAAACAACAAATTCAATTCATTTTTAACAGCTAGAAAGCTCTTTAGGTTCTTCTCAAATGATCCTTGGTCATTTGTTATTTCCAGGATTTGTCCACTTCATCTAAACAGTTAAATTTATTGGCATAAAGTTGTTCGTGACATTGCATTACCCTTTGTTTGTGGGGTCTGTAGTGACGTCCCCTATTTCATTCCTGATATTGATAATTTATATCTCTTTTTTTTCCTGGTTAATATGACTAGAGGTTTATCAATGTTTTTTTTTTCAAAGAACCAGCTTTTAGTTTCATTGATATCTGTTCATTATTTCCTATTTTGTTTACTTTGATTTGAAGTTCTTTTTCTTCTTTAAGTAGAACTAGTTTGCTAATTAAATAACTTCCTTCTTTTCTAAAATAAGCATCTAATGCTATAAATTTCCTCCTGAGCACTTCTTTATTGCATTCTAAAATTTCTGATGTTTTGTTTTCATTATCATTCAATTAAAAATATTTTAAAATTTCACAAAATATTGTGATTTTTTTGACCTGTGTTATTTAAAAATGTGTTTAATTTCTAAGCATTATTGAAAATTCCCAATATTTTTCTATTATTGGTTTCTAGTTTAAACACAGTGTAGTCAGAGAACACAGTTTGTAATGGTTTAGGTCCATTTATCTTTACTGAGACTTGTTTAATGAACTAGAATATGGTCTCTTGGTGAATCTTCTTTCTGTGTATAGCTAAAAAGAATCTGAACAATGCTATTGTTAGGTGGACTGTCCTATAAAAAATAATTATGTCAAATTGGTTGATAGAATTGTTTAGGTCTTATACGTGCAAACTGATTTCCTACTTGTTCTTTCAACCACTGAGAGATAAGAGTTAAATATCTCTGTTTCTGCCATTTTGAAGCTAGATTTCTGCCACTTTGAAGCTTCGTTATTCAGCACATAAACATTTAGGATCATTATTTCCTCTTGATGAAATGATCCATTTAGCACTATGAAATGATTTTCCTTGATAGGTCATCACTGTTTGCTCTGAAATCTATTTTGATATTCTTTGTTCTGAAATGGGTGAAGGAAGGAGATGACGAACATACATGATGGCCTTAGAACCAGCAGGAGCAGCAGGGAGTTAATTTTCACTTACTAACCCTTTCTAAGTCTTTTTGGGAGACTGCAACTAGTCATCCTCTTGAAGAACTGGATTTGGATCTCTCCTCTCAGAAAAGAATTGAGAGTATCACAATATTATGTTCCCAAGTGAGACTAGATGCCAAAAGAGAATACTAATGATCGATATATGTAGTGCAAGGGATAAACTGGATTTGCCACTCTAAATTACTCACCTGCCTGTTGTCTGGCTACATTGACTCTAGCAAGGTGAGGACTATTCCCATGGGTTGGAGCTGAGCTCCTGTTATTAACATCCTGCTCCAGACTGAAGGGTTGCCTATAATGGCTATTCCTGGCCCTTTGGGATAATCATGGGCACAAGCCAACATCTGTCTTGTATATTGCCCTATAGCCTCTCTCCTCTGACCCTAGACTTCCTGGTTGCCACTGAGACATATGAGATACAGCAGAGCTATTGGATCCATGCACTTGTAAGAGTGGGGGAAATAGTATCGTATTAGGGCTAACATACCAATGTAAGAAGGGAACTAGCAGTAATATCACTTTCTAATTCCCCCTTCCACAGTTCAGAAATGTATGATCTCTCTGAAGACTTTCAGTAGAATCAGGCAATCACCTTTGCCAGCTCTGTAATTCCTTTCCTTATATTTGCTTCTCCTCCTTTTCTGCCTTACTCCTCTTTCATTCATATAGTGTTAGCACATAACTTTTAGTCTCAGGCTCTATTTTCTAAGAAATCTACACTAGGGAAGACTTATTGATTAAAATGTTGGAACTATAGGATATTCTTTTTTTTTTATAAATTTTTATTTATTTATGATAGAGAGAGAGAGAGAGAGAGAGAGAGAGGCAGAGACACAGGCAGAGGGAGAAGCAGGCTCCATGCACCGGGAGCCCGATGTGGGATTTGATCCCGGGTCTCCAGGATTGCGCCCTGGGTCAAAGGCAAGCGCCAAACCGCTGCGCCACCCAGGGATCCCACTATAGGATATTCTTAAAGCTCATCCAAGTGTTCAAGTCTGTTAAGATACTACGTTATTTCAATATACAGCCAAAACTACTCACTTTAAAAATTCATTTTACATATACAGACTTTCAGTCATGAGTAGCCCAATAGTTACTAACTTTTTTTTGCCACCAAACATAATGTTGTACCTTCTCCAATGAGATTATTATGGATTCTACAGTAATATTTTATAATTTCTAAATGTGTTCAGTGATAATGTATTTGTATTATGTATGCATGTACCTGTGTGTGTTCTTTAAAAATAGATGTATGCTACGTATGTATCCTAATTTCTGAAAATTGTCTCATTAATTTATAAAATATAAACTTTTTTTCAGTAAAATTTGACTGAAATAATATTTCATTTGGTGTAATAAAGATGTGGTGATTCAGCTGGCTTTATAATTCTTGCAAGAAGCTTAGAGTTCACACAACTGCTATGGTCAGTATGCTGAATCAATCCAGAGAATGAAAACTGTTTCCCAGAGGACTTGTCTACGTGTAAAATGTCTGTTATTTAACCCCTTACCTTTTATATTTTTTGTGTGTTGTGTTCAACAGAAGTTTTCATTATTAAGTCCCTAATCAGATTTGGCTAAGATGTACCTGTATCTATGTGGTCTTAGCCTGATATATATCCCAGAAATATACCCTTTTACTCCAGATAAACCGTGAGCATATTCAGTACACCTTTACAGGTCTGAGAAAGTAGCAATGGGATTCACTATTTTAAGTATCTCAAGTAATTTATAAATAATATGTAGCTAGTTAAAACTGGTAGCTAGTTAAAACATCAAACTCCTGTAAACATAGCTAAATTATAACAAGGATGACAATAATAGTTATCTCATTTAAACAGAAGCTTTGGCAGAGATGCATGTTTGATAAATTAAACATGAGAAACTGATAATTAAAAAAGTGATGCTGAAAAATTTTTCAAAACTATAGAATCTATCAACAAAAATTATGAAAGTCCTAATCAGTGGTAGAAAGATTAGAGAAACTATGAGTTAATATGTGGTACATAAAGATGGAATTATTCAGTGGCCTAAGGATCCTACTTTAGTTTTTTCTGGTGCACAATGGTCTACAATCATGGGGGCACAAAAAGTAAAAATAGACAACTCACACAAAATACCAGAAATAAAATTCTCTAGGTAACTATTCCCACTTACAAATTTTGTACACTTTTGCTTCATTGATGCTTTTCACTGAACTT